CCCTTCTTCAGAAAATCTTTTCTGAAGAAGGGTCTAGGCCCGAAACGTCAGCCTTCCTGCTCCTATGACGCTGCTTGGCCTGCTGTGTTCATCCAGCTCTACGCCATGTTGTCTCAGGGTTTTAGCTGTGATGGGTAGCATGTTGGTGCAGGCTTGGAGGGCTGAAGCATAGGAACAGGCCCTGTAATTTTCTTTGTTCTTGGGATTCTGACCAAGATCACTGACCTCCAACAACCATCTTCAGTGTGTCAGTGGAGAGACTTCCCCAATTCAAATTCACTCCAGTTTAGCTACAGCTCGTTAATGCCACACTTAGTCAATGCAGCCTTGATGTTATTCACCTCTCCTTTGGAATTCAGCTCTTTTGTCCACATTTTGAGCCAAGGCTGTAATGAGGTCAGGAGTTGTATGGCTCTGGTGGAACACAAACTAGGCATCAGTGAGCAGGTTATTTCTAAGCAGGCATTCTCTGCCACAATGATACCAAGTAGGGCTCAAACCTCTAAAAACCAAACATGCAAGATAAATCTCTCACTGACTACAAATGGAAATACTCCATGAAGAGGTCCAAATGACTGGTTTTTGAATTGAGGATCACTGTAAATCAGATAAAATAGAAATTAATGCATTTTTTGTTAAGAGTGATAAAGTCACCTCATCTCTCCTTGTGGTTTGAACTCTTGATCCATAGACTATTTTTTGCCTACATTTTCCACACAGGATATTCATGCAAACCAGCTGCCTCTATTTCGGGAATAAGTCTGTACATATTTGGATTTAAATGGAAAATATTTCAAGTTTGCATATGAGTAATTAATATACCATTTTGCCAGGTTAGTGGGCATGTTTGTTCTAATGAATACATTTTTACTTATTCATTGACAAAACATGGAATGAATTTATTTTATCTTCGATACTTGTCAAAAATCAGGCATCAACCTCTCTAATGATTAAATGGGTCATATTTCGCATTTTCAACAACTCATGAAATAGTAGAGCTTAATTTTTCAGTGTTTGTTTCTGTCACGGTTGTATCAACATCCTGAAAGAGAGATCTGTTTTTCCCCCTCCCCCTGCCCCTGCCAAATGCTACGATTCCAATTTTTTAAAAAAAAAAAATAAAAATCACAGCCATTTTCCAGAGAGCAGCGCATCAAATGGTAATCGGTGTGCCTAATTATGTTGTTTTGTTGTTCAGGTTTTTCTAACTTGATATATTGGCATGTCCTGAGACTTGGGAGGACAACTTGAAACAGTTAGAACTTCTAGAGAATTGCAATTGCAAAGAGTATGGCTACCTGGGTTGTTTCATTTTAACAGGTTAGTTAAAAGGATATTGAAACAATTCTTAACAAGGCATTTCTTAATTGTCACTTTTCTGATAAATTTGAGCAGGGGAATTTACAACTTTCTGCTCGCAATTTGCGACCAACTTGCTGAAGACAAGGAGCTTCCAGCTTAGTTCGAGCTTCCGAAAGAAATCTTGATAATTCCGATTGTCCTCTTGAAGTGCAACTAAGAGATTTGTTGGCACTGTTTCCTAAGTAAGCTGTGTGTACAAAGATTTCAGGCAACTACCTCCACCTAAACAGGCCAGAAATTTTGAATGACAGACATCTGAACATGGCAAACTTTTTCTTTTATTCGAGAACTAGAGAAATTGATTTCTTTTCCCTTTACCTTGTTTGCGTTTTGGGTTATTTAGAAGGGAAAAAAATTTAAAATTTCATATTAGAAACTGAGTTTACAAGCTTTACAGCGCCACTGAATTTTCTTATAATAACCAATTTTGTATTTGTTAAAAGAAACTTAAATTTAAATAACAAGATCCATCAACTAATATAGAGAAAGTCATATTAGGAACCAGGTGGATCAATTAATTTTAATGTTGTGACCTGTGGAACACCAGAACTAAAGACAGTGCAATCTTTTCATTTCTGTTGTTACAATAAGATACAAGGTTTGGTAAGGTAGATACTGGGAGAATGTTTCCACATGCAGGGAAAGTAGAACTATGCATTTTGTTCAATAAGGGGTAGTCCTTTTGAGAGAGAAATTCTCTCTCAGAATCCAAAGGAACAACACAACACCAAACTGACTCCCTTTTAACTTTGACATTCTGATACTACACATGACAAATCCATTACAAAATTGGTTAAGTGATGAAATGGCTCATTTTATTGTGTGTAATACAGGGATGTGACTTTACAACAGGAGGTGGTACCTTAACACAAATATTCTAACAACTAGCTGTTGAGATCATTAATTAGTGGAATATGAAGATAAATATTTTCTTTATTAAACAGATGTGTCAGTGAATGGTTTGAGTGACAGGATATTTATCTTTGCAAAAGACTTTAGACACTGGTACACAGGCTGAGCTAATCTAATTTGATAAATAGTATAAACTTCAGTACAGGCAAGTGGTTTAGTGTCTTACTGCCTTTCCAAAGATCATAATCTAAATGCATACACACACACAGACATGAGAACATTACAACTGTCAAGTATTTACAACAAAGACGTTTAAATATTCGAAAAGAAAAACACAAATCACTGATGGAGGAGGCTCCAGTACTTGTTTGCAAAAAGTTCCATTGTAATAGGCTGATTTTTCTTTCAAATTATTCAAGACAGTATCCTTCATTACTGGTCTCCACAGGCTGCATTAAAATACCAATTATTGTAATCACAAACAGGAAAGCCACACTTGGTATTAGTTACGACTTCAACTTGCGTACACTCATCCTCAAATGAAGCTGATTAGACATGGCAAAGTTCAAATGGAGTATTTCACTGAGCAACAAAAACTTAAGCCCACATGCATGCTGGTATTTTTCAGAACAAAAAAGGTACACTTGATTTTAAAAGCATGATTAGAAATGAAAGACATGTTTTAAGTGAGCCACAGTGAGATGCTGTTGTTTCTTAGAAAACCCAGTCAGAATGACTAAACACATGACTTCTTCTAAACCTTACAGTTCAGCTTTTAATTTCTGGTTTCTCCATTCTAGTCAATTCTCAAAAGTGGAGAAAAATATGGGGAATTTTACAGAATCAGGTATCCTTGCATTAATCATCAGTCCTGTCAAGTATTACAAGTTCTTCAAAAAAGGTATAGTAATAGGACTTCACTAATATTTATTGGTACAAAACATTTTTTTTTAACTGGATATAGAGAGTGTTAAGTTTTAAATTTTGTTGATGAGTTAGCAGCAACCATCACTATTGTAATACTTTCCCATTTAGTTGATATTTCAATCTAAACAGAAGTTCATATGAACAAACAGCATTGCCCCAAGTATGCTTAATATGCATTTCTACGTAGGTTTCTGGTATAAAATGCTACTTTAAAAGTCTACAAATAGCAGTAATGCAATAAATCAGTTCGTGTTGATGTTATGAACATGTGAAAATTTAATCTGGCAATAATAAGGTCACATTTTTACAGCAAACAATTTTAGTTAACAATTGTGTTACTGGTGTCTGTTCAAACTGCCAATGAATCAAAAAGCTATTTCCAATAAATACATTTGAGGGTTTTTACATGTTCCATTAAAAATAAGGACTTGCATAAATATGTTGATGTAAATTGAGTTTGCTAATCCCAGAATTTATCTTGCTAACAGACACAGATTACACATGCTCACAAAGCAACAACAAATTTACATCTACTAAATCCAAAGCACCAATTACACATTACGGCATTTCTGAAACTGCATGTACAGAGACTGTACAGCGGAACACAATACTCGGGGGCTTTGAAAACTAGTTAACTGTGGCTTAGCTGTAGGATAGTTCCTGTAAACTACTAGCTCATGAAGGAGTCTGGCATAAGAAGCTGCAACTAGTACTAATACAGACTCTGTTTATTCAGAGATTGTGACTTTTAGTTGCAGCTAAATTAGTCAAATACTCCATTTAGTCTGAAACATAGGGAAGTGTGATCACATATCCAAAATTGCAATCAAGCATGCTTCCTGATTTATGAATAAAATTCCAAAGTATCCCTCCACAGTTTTCCAAAAGATAATTCCAGGAATGTAATGCTGTTCACCAAGAGCAACTAGAAAGTGAATATTACTTTTCTTGTGACAGTGGCAAAGAAACATCATTTTAGAGTTAGCATAACTCAGAAAAAAACAGATTATAAAAGCACTAATTAATTTTGAACCTGAAACTTGCAGGGACCATTTAAAAGGGCTACTGTTCACAAGGATATTGGCCAAAGATTCAGGAAGCAGCAACTGGCAAGACATGACACTACTTATCAGTCTTCACATCCTGCACCACAGATGAATTAAAGCATGGTTAAGTTATTCAAGTTATTTCATGGGTATTGAAACTGGATGCTATCTACTTGTGCCATGCCAAAATCATCTACTTGGGAAGGGGACTAAGTGGCTACTCAGCAAAACCTTCAGATACTCTCCCCAGTGATGAACAGTTAACTTCCAACCTTAAATGAAACAGACACTACACTAGTGCACTTGAACTCTAAATGGCTGCACAAATGAGCCGAGACATACATCCATGGAGAGCAAAGGAATATAGCTTCAGAAGCTTACTTCAACTGTAGAAAATCAATGCTGTTCTAGCACCACACAATAGCAAAAATGCTGCCCCACCTCAACAAAGACCACCCAAGACAGCATATTAAGACATTACTCAGACAGAAGTATTTTGTTGGATACATTGGTGCTTCCCCTCTTCTTTCCCAATTACAAAAACATTCCCTCTGGTCAAAGCAGCATCTAAACCTCAGCTCAGACCCACATCAAGACATCATAGGCAATTTATCCTTTTTTTTTGATAATCTGACACAGCAACATCTTTGCATATTCACACAAACATTTTACATCGTGCACACATTTCTGTACAATGTAAAGGACTGCATCGCTCAGTGTTAAGAGTGCAATACATAACATAATTAAATCAAACTTGATCTCTGGATCTTAAATAAACCATGCAGCTGAAGGAAATGAAATTGAATTTTCTGAATGAAGAAGCTCCTGGTGCGATTACAGCAGCACGTTCACACATTACTGAGCCAGCACACCACCAAAAAAGGAGCAAGGTGGATAGTCAATGACTGTAATGCAGTTGGTGATGCTGGCCATAGGGTACAGTTTGATTGTGCCAATATTAACAGGAGCAGCCACCCTCATTGATTGGTGGTTCTGGTGGTTTCTCCAGCTTGATATCAATCACTGTAAATGGAGTTAAGGAAATTTAACCTTTTTGAATGAAAAAGAGACTTGCATTTATATAGTACCTTTCACAACATTTCAAAGTGCTTTAGAACATAAGGAATGGGAGCAGGAGTAGACAATTGATCCCTGAAGTCTGCCTCACCATTCTATATTCATGACTGATGTACCTCAAGCCTCAACTCCTCTTTCATGCCAGTTTGTTAGAGCCCTCAACTCAAAAATATTTCAAAAAACAACTTACCTACTTCTTTAAATACTTGGAGTGATCTGGCCTCCACAGCTTTCTAGGGTCAAGAATTCCAGACATTTACAACCAATCAAGTACTGAAGTGAAGTGTAGTTACAGCCATAATAAATAAAAAGGTAGCAGTCAACTTGTGCACAATAAACTCTCACAAATAGACATCTGATAGCGACATAGATAATGAACAGGATCTGCTTTTGTGATGTTGATCAAGGATTAAAATATCAGCCATGACATGGGGATTATTCCCGGCACTTCGTTGAATAATGCCAACAGAGTTTTGCATACACCCGAGAGTAGGCCTCCTCTTCATTTAAAGATTTCATCTAAAAGATGGCATCTTTGACAGTGAAGCATTCATTCCTTGCACAAGAGTGTTTGCCTTAATTTTTATGCTCAGGTCCTGGAGTGGTAATGAAACCACAACCATCTGACTTACAGCCAATAGGAGCACTAACATTGCTGACTGACACCATACGGTAGTGGACACTAGATCAAGGGATTCATTGCCCCACAACTCAGTACCTTCAGTTACCAAAAATCTGTCAATCTCAGTTTTAAAGCTGACATGTCTGGCATCAACAGACACCTGCAGAAGACAGTTCAAAATCTCTAGTACTCGGTGCGAAAGGATGTTTTTTAATTTCACTCAGGAGAGATCTGGTTGTAATTTTTAAGAGTCTGCATCCAAGTCCAACACCCCTAAATACTGGAACTTTCTCCTAAACCATTCCAGTCAATAGTTTGAAAAATTAAAATAAGCCACAAGGATCGGTGCTGGGTCCACTGCTTTTCATCATTTATGTAAATGACTTAGACGTGAAGATAGGAAATATGGTTAGTAAGTTGCAAATGACAGCAAAATTGGAGGTGCAGTGGACTGTGAAGATGGTTACTTCAGAGTACAACAGACCAATGGGCTGAACAGTAGCAGATGGAGTTTAATTTAGAAAAATGTGAGGTGCTGCATTTTGGAAAGGCAAATCAGGGCAGGTCTTATACACTTAATGGTAAGGTCCTGGGGAGTGTTGCTGAGCAAAGAGACCTTGGAGTGCAGGTTCACAGTTCCATGAAAGTGGAGCTCCAGGTAGATAGGATAGTGAAGGCATTAGATATGCTTGCCTTTATTGATCAGTGCATCAAGTATGGAGTTCAGAGGTGATGTTGCAGCTCTACAGGACATCGGTTAGGCCACTTTTGGAATACAGTGTTCAATTCTGGTCTCCCTGCTATAGAAAGGATGTTATGAAACTTGAAAGGGTTCAGAAAAGATTTACGAGAATGTTGCCAGGGTTGGAGGGTTTGAGCTATACGGAGAGGCTGAATAGGCTAGGGCTATTTTTCCTGGAGCATCGGAGGCTGAGTGGTGACCTTATAGAGGTTTACAAAAATCATGAGGGGCATGGAAAGGGTGAATAGACAATGTTTTTCCTGGGGGGTCCAAAACTAGAGGGCATAGGTTTAAGGTGAAAGAGGAAGATTTAAAAGGGACCCAACAAGCAATGTTTTTACGCAGAGGGTATATGACTAGGAACAGTTTAGAATGATATGGGCCAAATGCTAGCAAATAGGACTAGGTTAATTTAGGATATCTGTTTGGCATGGACAAGTTGGACCAAAGGGTCTTTTTTCATGCTGTACAATTGTATGACTCTAAATTAGGTTTGTATTTGCTGGAATACTCTCGTCACAACTTACAGGGACATAGGAGTAGGCCATTCAGCCAAAGAGATCATGAATGCTCTGTGGCCTAACCCTATATACCTGCCTTTGGCCCATATCCCTCAATACTTTTGCTGAACAAATATCTACTATCTCAGATTTAAAATTAACAATTGATCTAGCATCAACTACCGTTCACAGAAGAGGATTTCAAACCACTACTACCCTGTGTGTAGAACCACTTCCTAACATCTCTCCTGGCCCTAATTTTAGACTTGTATCCCTACTTCGAGAAGCTCCAGAGTAAGTGGTTTATCTTTATCTACTCAGTTTTTTCCCTTTAATATCTTGAGGACTTTGATCAGATTTCCCCTTAATCTCCTGAATTCTAGAGAAAACAGACTTAATTTGAATAATCTCTCATACCTGGACTTCTGGGGTTATTATTCTTGTAAACCTACATAGTTCTCCCTCCAAGGCCTCTACATCTTCCTAAGGTGTGGTATCCAGATCTACACTCAGTGCTCTAAGTGGGATCTAACCAGGGTCTCATAACTGCCCCATAACTTCCACATCTTGATATGCCAGTCCTCCATTAGCCTTCTTTATTATTTTCTGCACCTGTTAGTGATATTTTAAAGATGTATGCATCCGAATCCTAAGTCTCTTTAGATATCCACTGTATTCAACTTCATACCATCTAGAACATACCCTGATCGATCCTTTTTTGGTCCAAAAATGTATAAACTCTCACTTAATTACACTGAAATTCATCTGCCCCATTTTTACCTATTCACCCAGTCAGTCAATGTCGCTTTGTAATTTTATGCATTCATCTGCACAATCTACAATGCCACCTACATTTGTGTCAGCAGCAAGTTTAGATATACGACTTGCTTTGCCATTATCCAACTCATGAATAATGTGAAGAACTGAGGCCCTCACACAGATACTCGTGGGACACTACCAGTCACATCCTGCTAATTTGAGTGCCTTCCCGTAATCCCTTCTTTTTGTTACCTGCCACTCAACTGATTTCCCAACCACGTCAGTAATTCATGCTCAATTCCATGTACTTCTTCCTTTGTTAAGTCTCTTATGTGGAATTTTATCAAATATCTTCTGGAAGTTCATATACATAACATCCATAGACATTCCCCTCTCCACTATCTTAGTCATCTCCAAGTAATTTAATGAGGTTTGTCAGGCACGATGTACCACTCATGAATCCATGCTGGCTCTCCATGATAATCTGAAAATTTGAGGTGTTCAGTTACTCTATCCAGATTTATAGACCCCAACAAATTTCCAACTGTGAATGATATGCTAACTTGTCTGTAATCCCCTGGTTCTTCCAATCCAGAGGGATAACCCCTGAATTTAGGGAACTCAAATGATTGTCAGAGCATTATAATCTGCTCCCCTACTTCCTTTAATACCTCGGAAGGATTGGGATTTGTCACTCAGTTGTTCCAAACTTAAATCTTGGAGTAAAGGTATCATTTAGTAATTCTAATCTGTATTTTCCCCAAGATTAATATAACCCAAGGTGTAATGCCCAAAAGTCAAGGAGGTCCAGCTAAGACTTCGAATTGCCAAAGTATTAGCTTCAACCTTCTTGTATTCTATTCCTCAAGATATAAAGACCAGTATTTGATTTGCCTTTTTGCTTATTTTCTGTACCTGATGGGCACTTCAGTGCACTATACATCTGGATCCTTGGTCTCTCTGCATCTTCAGTTTTTGTTTCACCATTTGAATTACTCTGTCTATCCTTTTAATGTCCAAATAGATGACCTCACATTAGCTGAATTTGAAATCCAAGTGTTATGTTTAGTTGATTCAGTCTATCAGTATCTTTTACTAACTTATAAATAGATGCACTTGAGTACAGAAGAGTTAGCTGTAATTTGAATGAACTATCTTAAAGTGTAATACCCAATAAAATCCAACAATTAGTGAGATTGAGAGATTACTGAAGGACATCATGGATTGAATTATCAGTCCTTTGCAATGCCTGTCACCAATTTTATCTCAATTTTTGCTGTTGTTTTTGTAATCCTTCTTAACATGCACTCTTCCAATTATCAGCTGGGAAAAATCCAGAAACCTTAACGTCAATTATGTGGAACAGCATTTCCACATAAATAAGATGAGCATTATCCTTTTTGCTAGGCCAGATGCCTCTCCTTAAAAAGGATTACATGATCAATGAACTCAAAATGTAAAATTCAAATAGCAGCATTGGAACTTGGTCTAAAATCTTGGCTATTTGTTAAAGCTATCACGCTGCTTTTCTACCTGCTTAAACAATAAAAGAATATCATAGTCACTTCCATATCCACTTGTTGATTTTCTCTCTCGCATAAATCCTTTTACATCTTTCCATTTATCTTTCCTAAGCACCCTTTGAGATCCAGTTCTACATGTGTCACTTGCTCTTTGAATATTTGGACGATAAATCATTCTGTGAATCCAGAGTTATCAATCTATGTCCCTACCTGAAGCCAAGTCCTTTCTCATTTAAATGGAATTCTCAGCAACGTAAAATTCGATAATCAAGTACCTTGCTGAATTTTTCCAACCCTGAAAAATTCCAAGTGTAGCACTCGCACCCTGGCTGACAACAGCTTGTTCAGCAACTAAGACATTTTTGCCTCCCCTCAGCCATTACTAATGCTTTTGGCATAGCCTTTGTTTCCACATTTACAGTTGCTCCCCCTCCCTCAACTTTATCTCTTTAATTTTTGGTGTCTCAACTCTCGTTTAGGTGGTCAAAAGGCAAGTGGATAGTAAAGCAGAATTACTGAAATGCTAATTTCTCCCATTTTTCTCCTTGGGAGATGGAATAGTATCACTTTATCCATCTAAATTGGCAGTATTAATATTGCATGGTTTGTTCTTCAACAAATAAGATTAATCTTTCAAAAACTGGGAATGGAATGGTTACAAAATATTGCTGGCACATTTCTAATAGCCCATGCATAAACGGAAAAAGGTATTATTCCTACATATCACAACAGTTACTGTACACAAGGAAACTGTACCCATGTTGTATCTTCAACCCAGTAAAATAAAAAGCAAATAACTGAGTGACATTTAATATTTCAATGAGAACAAAAACAAACTGACCAGTCATATGTTGTATACTGAGTTTTTCAATTGGCATCCTACATCACCAGTGCTGCCATAATTATGTTGGTTTTTCCTCTGAATTAGTTAGATATTCTTAAAAAAATTCATGGGAAAGTGCAGTGAAGGATACTGTCTTCTTTACTCTTTTCAGGTGCATTGTCCATACCAGGCAGAGCAGCTGCTACACGTCGGAAAAGCTGAAAGAAATGAATTTGAAGTTGATGATGCGCAACTAACTAGTTTAAACAAAAGACAAACTATGCAAGCAGAACAGACCCACTCTGGACGATGTATTTTTGCAGGGTTTACAATCAATTGTACTTTCCAAAGTCAAACTACTAATTATCCTCATTTGTTAACATTTTTGTTCTTTATGAACTTGCTTGCACTAACTGAAAGATGAAAACACCAATTTGGGGTCACCCAGCTACAAATGACCACTTGGCTAGAATCATGAACCAAGTTATGGCAAACCAACCTTGTTGCCGTTAGCGAGAAGAGATGCATTGCATGGAAATGGCCAATACAGAAACTGAATAGGTAAAAAGGCTTACTGCCTATTACACAGGCACAAATCAATAACTTCGATTTACACTGCACTTTTCTCAAAATAACATCCCAACATGCTCAACTGAGAAAGTGGGGTATGTCACTGCCTTTGCAGTGGTTTGAAAATGTGACTAAAGGTCCAGTTGAAGAAATGGTCTCAGGATGATATGGAAGGTTGGAGGGGCTTTCAGAAATATAGCAGGGCAAAGACCTGACCACCAAATATAGTGACAAAGACTTTTGATTGACTTTGGCAGATAGCAACCGCAGAGAATATGATTTTACTGCAGGACCAATTTCCTCCTTTAAGAAAGGAGGATTGTGTTTAATTGTAAATGTTTCAAGAAGAGTGGAAAATAAAAAGGGGAAATGTCTGACTAAAAGAAAAACTGATGACCATTAGAG